GGATTTTGGATAGAGGAGAACAATGGGCTGTTGTAGGGCAAGAAAGTAGTTGAAATGATGAATCTCGGTTTCTAAGCTCAATAGTAATAAGTGGTGGAGAAATGATAGGGTGAAGGGCTGGAGGCCATGATGAAGAGGCAGAACAGGTGTCTTCAGGTGGTGGTGATGGCAGCAACAAAATAGACCAGCTGGAAGAGTGGGCATTGTGCTCAATGAGTTATTGGGTTGTCAGAAAAGTCATGACGCAGTTTTGCAAAGAAAAACATGGAAAAAATATGTCATGACTTCCGACAACCCAATATTTAGGATCTAAATCAAATATGTTTTAAATCATCACAACTAAAGATTAGTTGTTATCAAGTTATGTATTTTTTACACCTATAAATTCAATGTCCACTTTTTTTTGGATTAGAACAGAAGTTTTAAAAATTTGAGAAAATATGGCCCATCAGAGGTCTTTTCTCTCTGAAATTCCACACAGCTGGGTGTCAAAGCTAGTAAAACCTTAATTTCACCCTTCAGTGTCTCATAGAACTAAAAAAATTCAGTTTTGACCAAGTAGATGGAAAGTCTGTATAAAGAACTTTTTATCTGAAATGGAACAATTTTTGTCCTTCTGCTGAGTTTTCCAGCAGACTGCCTTTGCATTGGTTTTACTGAGGGGAGAAAAATGGCTGCTATGGAAGCTCCTGTGGGCAGACTCCCCAAATTTTCCGTTTCCCACCCTGCGAGGCAGAAACACCAGGAGACCTGAGTCTGTTAAGCAGTAAAAACAGGGCAAGGTTTAAGTTGTTATCTTAACCTAAATTCTTCCTTCCATCTTGCTTAAAAATTTCTGCATGTTAATGGATCTATTTCATTGACTTCATTTGATTTTAAATTCTCAAACACCTCCAGAGTCCCTCAGTATTTGAGACAATGAGCTTCTAATAATTTGATAAAATTTCCTTGGTCTACCTTCTTTAGACCAAGTAGAGGTGGATTATATAGGACATCATTTGGCCATTAAAAGTGAACAAATTGCGTGAGTGTGCATGTAATAGATCTCAAATCACAAAATCGGCCTTGTTTACTTCTTTAATATTATGATGACATTTATTACTATAATTACCACACAGTTCTACAAAGCAAAACAGTAATCATGTTGCCTTCTATACCAGCATTAGTTTTTTGTTTGTTTGGTTTATGTTTTTCACTTCGTTGTTCTCTCATTTTTCCTCTATCATCAGAAGTTTCATAGAGCTGAATTTTGATAATCACCCACCTTACTGGGAAAGTCTAGAGGCCGCCATAGGGCAAAGCCACCTCTAAAGGACCCAGATACTTTGACTAACAACTATATGATATATAAGTATGCAAGATGTATCCACCTATTTCTATAGGCTATTCTTTATTACAGATGTTCTCAGGATACTAGCTAAGGCAGAACTTCCTCACTTACTCCCCTACTTGTTTAATAGACAATAAATCATTAATAGTAAATATCATAAGGTAAAGGACCAATGAATGGCACTGTTGTAGAACAGCGATGAATGAGTGACAGGCTTTCGCATTTGTTATATGGGTCCTGCAGTCTGGGTTTTGCTGAAGGCCACATGAACCGGGGCTGAAACTAAGGATGTGCCAGGCTCTTCGTGTCCTGGGCTCTGGTCCCCCACTCTGTGTCTGTTGGCGAATAACCTTTTAAATCTATGTGAAGACATTATGGAAGTTGCCTGCCCAAACTGGCAAATTGTGTCAATATAGGGGTCAAAATGGAGCCCCGACAGAGGGATTTTCTTTGAAAGTTTCCAGAAATCACCATTTTAGGTGGTTACCGCAATTTTCTATTTTCACAAATGGCTCTTCGGTTAAATTTAGAGATGTTGCATTAGTAAAGCCTGGCTCAAAATTACATATTATTTAGTGCAGCGTCAAGTAGGACACGCAAGATACCTTAGCAAGTGTATATGCACAGACGTATATTTCAAATGAAACAGTGATTTATTTGAAAAGCTTATTTCATTTCAACTGCTAGGGAACCCTTCAGTTATTCTGATTTTACTTTACACCACATCTCATTTACAAGCAGGGTCAATAAATTTAGTTTTTTCTTTTACATTTCAGGAATTCAGACACCTTGATATTTAAAGGTGTCCTTAACCTTTTTTTTGAGTATCAGGTTTCTTAGTCATAATACAAATTCTAGGTCATAATACAAGATTTTTTTAATGCTTATTTTAATCAGACACCACTTTTGTATAATTGGGAAAAGATTTTTTATTCTGCTTATTTTAATCTGATACCACTACTGTGTACTTGAAAAATTGCTTTTATTCAGTAAGTTTGGTCCCTTAAGTGACACATGCTGTTAAGCTGAATGTGTTTCACACTCGTGAAGCCATAATAGATGAATTGGGAAATCTGCCATCTCTCTCTTCCAATTAAAAAAAAGACATAAATTGTCATTACTTGACAGAATTTCAACTGAACCTTCAGTTGCTTATATATTTGAAAGATTAAAACTGTTGGAAGGAAACAACAGAAATTTAATTGTTGAAAGTAATAAGAATTCATATTACCTAATTAAATATATCAGAGGGCAATTTGTATTCAGTCAGCATTCATTGTGTTTATATCATACCATTTAATTTAAAAGTTTAAAATAAAAGTTATTTTGCATTATAATTACATACAATGCAACATTTATTTTACATTTGAAAACTAATTAATGAAAATGTGAACTTTGAGAATTCTAACTTTATTTAATTTTGATAAGCTATTGTTTTTTGTGGAAACACAAAAGTGGACTCTGTGGAGTGCAGGATATTTTTATATCATGCTTTATACTATGTGTACAAAGTAAGAAATATCTGGCCTGTGGATATCCTATGAAATGATGAGTAGTTTTCTAGAGAGAGCTCCAAAGACAGTGAGATTAATGAGGCTATTGGTAATTAAGCCCCTCATTACCCCACTCTTACCTTTGTTTTGGAGGGAGTTCTGTGATGGAATGGAAAAACTAACATCCTAATGACATTGTGGTTAGACTTGATCTTTTAAAGGGGAATAGCATTTGCAAGTCACTATTGCATTATCCAGAGAATTTTGTTTGCTTTCTTTTGAATAGCAGAGGGGCTTTACGGTTTGCTCTTGACTTTTGCCAACTATTGGATTCTTTAGCTAAACAGGCAAAGCATATTATTAAACTTTCTATAAACATATTTTAAGACATTCATATTACTTAGGACAAGCTAAACCGCTGTAACACATTGGACCCAAAATGTATAATGACTCAACATACTGGAATTTACATTGTGGTCATATAGCCATCTAACTTGGATGCTGAGACCTTCCATTCTATCATTTCATGATTCCCCTGGGCAGGCATTCTCAACACAGGCCATATCATCCAAGCGCATGACATAGTTTTTTTAAGGGGGGCAGGGATGAAACCAATTATAGATATTACAATAGTTTGTAGTCCCCCCAAAAAGGGCCACAGTATGTAACATTTATATAGTATACCTATGGTATTAAAATTTCAGGGGGAAGGAATTGGGGGAAAAAGGTCTAAAAAGGCCTCTTAGGGGTGGTATTAATGGGCAGGAAGTTTTGAGATATACTATCCTAGGGCCTTGCTCTTGTGTTTTGCTTCTATCTAGCAGAAGACGATAGCAGAAGAGTCTGTGTAGAAGGACTTTATGACCCAGCATGAAAGTGTCCTGAAACATGCCTATCCACAACCATTGGCTAAAATCGAGTCACATGACTGTAGCTAACTGTAAGGGAAGCTGGGAAATGTAGTCTTAGCTGTGTGTCCAGAAACAAAACAAAGGCATTGTGGTGAACAGCTAGTGCGCTTTAAGTTCCAATTAATATGTATGCACCTATCACAGAGTGTACATTCAGTGAATGTTTCTTGAATTATTTGTTGAGCTGATGTATAGGCCTGTGTCAGCTCTTTCTAAGATAACTCAGAACCCAGCTCTGTAGATCTTGTCAGTGGATTTTTGACTAATGAAGAAGTGTGAGTCCATTTCACTTGTATGGGGTTCTTACTTATTCAGTGTTGGCATTACTTAATCTCCTAGTGTTTCTGTGCATCTGGTCTAGGCTTTTTCTGTGTCTCCTCTTTTTGTGTGATATTTTGGCATTTAAATATGAACTTACAGAAAGTGGCTCATTACTATTCTATAAATATCTTGAATTTTTAATTGCTTTTTGAATAATTATTTGTGTAGGCATATAAATCATTTTGAATGGAGAAGTAGACTTTGCTTTACAATAACCACATGTCAAATTTTGTATACCACAGTGTATTTTTGGAGTGCTTACTTGGAAAAATTATAGATAAAGACACCTGGGCAACCTTAAAATGCGATCTTGGAACATGACAATTTTATTATATTCATTGGATTGGTATTTTTTTTTAATTCTGGTTTACATAACACAATCTTCTGGGGAAAAAATAAATTCTAGAGACTAATGCTATTCTTTTCCAAAAAGGTTTAGTTCAGGATTAGATTTAAGGTAATATGGCTTGGGGAGGAAAAAATTAACACTATTCTAAGAAATGAGAAACCTTGTTTCTAGACCTGCCCTCACTTTGAAACCTACAGGTGTAATCCACTCTGTGTCTTATTTCTTCATGAGTAAATGGAGGGCCTTTTTTAGGTGAATTTTATAATCCCTTCCACTTTATTGACAAATGATACAAAACGGATCCTCATTCTAAATCTCCTTTCTGCTCTTGGATGACACACAAGTAAGTTCTATATACACTAGGCTTCTTGCAAACAGACACTGAGTCTTATTTGTTGAACTGGGCCTCCATTTCACTATTTTCGGCTGAACATGTAGTGCACATTCACTTTTTATTTTGTATTTCTGTCCAATGTATGTTGAGTAACTAGGATTTTCTCAACTCTATGTTAAACACTTTAAAAGTATTATTTTATTTACTCCTCACAAACATCTTCTAAAGAAATTGTTCTTTAACCATTTCCATTTTTTCTAAGGAGAAAATCGAGGCAGAAAGAGGACCCAAAGCTGGCCAGTGAAGAACTAGGTTTGGATCCAGGATTGGCTGACTCCAGTGGTCAAACCACCACAGCTCTGAATGGTTACTCCATAGCCTGGACAGAAACATTTAATTAAAGAAGATTTCATATGTCTTCTTGCTAATTTGTCCACAATTTGAAGGTGAATTTTAAGGAAATGGATTTATTTTTACCTATCATTTCTAATTTTTTCTGAAGTTTGTAGAGGCCAAATATTCTTAATTTTAGATATAATGTGTAATTTTCATTTTCTCCATAAAACATTTCCAGATATTTTAACAAATGGTAACATTTGACTTTCTTGGGAAAGTAGATAATCTTGATGGGATCTGTAGCCAAATCAACAGGACCATGAATTTGAAGACGTATGGGCAAAATATACTTCATGAGTATGTGTATAATTGTTAATTGTGGAGCTTTAATTTCCTTAGATTGTTCAAGAATATTCTGTGATGAGTTAGTGGAACTGAATATCAGTTTGAAAACTCACTGTTGTATTAGAGTGTCAGGCTTTATTACAATCATAGCAAATTGTAGCAGGAGCTCATGTGTTAGGATTTTTACAATATGATAATGTAAATGCAATTAGAATACTTGTCATTAGCTGAAGCTCTTATAACCCCTTAATTTTGAATTTTAAAAAATCAATTAAGTAACAAAAGTAGAAACAAGTCAAACAAATAAAATTCACAAGAATGCTATTTCTTACTACCAGTGTATTCTAATAGCCAGAGAAAGCTATGTAGTATTATAACTAAAATTAGTCTTTTTAAATGAGGCAGTAATTTTTTTCACATCATTAGATAAATGTCCTTTCACCTATGTTTAGTTATTACTGATGAAGAATTGTCACCTAAACAGTTGATTTCTTCTGTGCCCACGTTCTTCATAAGCAGTCACCAACAACTTATACAGACTCTATTCTTAGAGTAGAGAGGTAATTTAACTAAATGTTTTAGTGTAGTGGGAAATAATTTGGGAGACGCTTTAAGTTGTGAATTTTAAATTAAGATGACTTACTAAGAGAGTTGTTGGCAAACTTTAAGGAGGCTGAAAGTTTTGTTCTTGTTTTCTTGATCATTGAAAAATTGTCTGATAAATTCAGCATTCTTAATTTCTATGATGAACTGACTAGATATATCTCTTACATAAGGAATGGAAATCTTTAATAATTTCTCTTGAAATTTGTTTACAAATGTAATCTTCTATTGTAGCATGGATATGGTCCCTTTAAAGCAGGAAGCTATATTTAAGCTGGAATAACACAAATCAACAATTAATCTTACTCCTGAGAGTTTCTGAGGACACTCAATGTTTTCAAATTCTAAGAAAACAGATTTAAGTGTGACCTAGGCATTTAATTGAGGGAAAATCTTATCCTAGGTCTTTCCTAGAAGGAAACAATTTCTATATATGTACGAAAAATATATAAAATATTCATTAATTAGAACTCAGGTGGCAATTAATAGGAACATGACAGTGCGTTTTCTATTATTTTCAGCAAATACTATACCCGAATACATTTTATAATATAATTATGATCTGTGTAATTTTAAATGTCTCTCAGATTTTTGTGTTTTTCATTCAACCAATATTTATTTTACTGCCTTCTTATGCTATGTATTATTTTAAGATCTAGATACAAATCAATGGGAATAAAGTATTTGTGTGTGTATGTATATATACCAAATATGTGTGCGTGCGTGTGTCTGTATTCCTTATTTCAGTTAATGGCAATTTCACCTTTTCTCTTGTTGTTGGAGTTATTGTTAACTCCTTGCTTTGTCTCACACCTCATGTCCAATCCATTACCATACCTTGTCAACTTTACCCTCAAAATATATTCAGAATCTAATCACTTTGTATCAGTTTTACTGCCAAAAACATACAAGTATATTATGAATATATTTTATATGCATATCACAGTAATAAAGGCTTACTCAAAAAAAGGCTTTTGAATCTAAAAATAGTAATTCAAGATACTCTTTTCTCCTGAAGTACCTGGTTATAGACTATATTCTTTATTATTTAACAGAAAATACTATGAAATAACTGTATTCTATGTCCATTTTACAAACAATGGTTTCATTTAAGGTTTTTATAATTAAACCTTCCTCATGATATTGTGATATGTCAAAAATAGAAAACAAGAAAAAATATTCTATTAATCATATTTTTGCACTTATACCTCCCATTTTTCTCAAGGGACTTATCAGCTCATTATATACGGCTATTGACCAACATAAGTCATCCCAGGAGACACCCCTGAGATTACAGTTGTGAGGTAACAAATGTTTCTGCCTACCGAATGGTGTTGCCTTTGGTTATTCTTATTTAAGGGACTTTATTTCTGTTAACTTTTTTTAAAAGAAAAAGACTGCATATTATTAGATACCTCTCTCTATAATTTTAAATACTATTTATTTTTACTATTTCAGAGGACTTCATGCATACTCTTGTCATAAGTTTAGGGGAAAACAACATATTTCTATTCCACTAAAGACTATTCTAGATGAAGATATCCTGTTGGTTCTGATATATCTAAAAAGTCCAGTTTTATCTATAACCCAAGAACTTGCCATCTTTCCTCAGAGTTTCCATTTGATGGCTAAAATAAAGGCTATTTTTAGTTTTTTTAGTGGAAAGGAAAGCTGTTTTTACTATAGAAGACACATACATGCTAGAAGTTACTGCTAGAGTAAAATAAGTTATACAAAGTTAGAATAGATAGATGTCACAAAAAATGCATGTTTTCATTTTATTTTCCTTTGGTATTTCAGTGAAATGTCTCATTTATTTTTTATTTCCTCTTAGCAGATTAAAACTCAAATGAAATTAACCCAGTGCACTCATCACGAAGTCTCTTAATAGCCCATGATTAAGTAGCACTATTAGATAATTCATTCCATTAATGTACATAAACCCATGAGTAATAATGAATCATTTGAAAATATGGGCCTGCCATTTCTGATGTATTTTTTGCTTACCAAAAATTATATCTATTTCATTATCATATTGACAACATCATATCTACCATAACTTGATAAGTTCAGTTTCCATATTTTCCAGGTCAAAATTCTAATGCCAGTTTTTCAGCGTTCCATCTTTTAGATATTATGATCTCTGGAGAACAGAGAAACAAAAAATGTTAGATGACAGTAAGGGGATTTAGAAATATTTCAAAAAAAATAGTGAAATCAGAATTCTATAAAGGGGCATAATGTCTTCTCAAGTATATGATATCATGATTTATTGGATACTTGCTTGGCATATGAAATATAATTTTAGATAATAAGTTTTTATTATAATAACTATTTGTCACTTGGAAGTGTGTATTTGTTAAATGCTTGAATTCTCAAATGTGTTACAAGTAAAGCAGAAAACATACCTATCATACTTGTTTGTTTTTTCATTTTTTCCTCAACAGGCCAAAGTACCCTGACTTTATGACTCTGTCTTTATGCTCAGGCTACTTATTTACATTAATGAATCATTTGCTCATAGGGAAAATCATAGGAAAGCTAATATTATTTCTATTATATGAAATGCTTACTCATGCTTTGATTACATATACATTTGCTCTAGAAAATTTCAAAAAAGCTTGTGATATACAAGTTAATGAATTCTCATTAGGAGTGATCACATTTCTCATTACATAAGAATTTTCTTTTTCTTTACAAGCTTGGAGAAAAGCCTAACTATTATTTATTTTATTTAGGCATTTGAAAAAGAGCTTTGTAGATAAGCCAGTATTTAAAATAGGATAATGCACTGACCTTTAGAATAACAAAAAGTATGTACAAAACACTTAAAAAAAAACTATTATAGAGGGCTGGAGTCAAAGTACACAATGTAACTTGATCACATTATGTTATGAATCTGGTCATTCCTTTGGCATTAGTAGTTAGTGATGTGCCTTTACAGAAACTAGAAAGCACAGTTGACTAAATTCACCAGAAGTAAACTTACCTCAGAGATCAGTATATTTCCTAATGTGAACGTTATTTTCAAGGGATTAATGATTTATCCAGGTTAGATAACTATTAAGAGAGTCAACTCCTCTGACCAGAGAGTATTATAATCATATTTAACCCATAAATTCTGAAACTTAGGTTAAGGAAAGACAACCTGCAATCCTCTTTTGCATCAAATCGTAACACCAGTTACAGTGCCAAGCACTTAGCTTTGATTATATTATATTTACATATATATTCACATTAATATATAATATATATTATAATATATAACATTATAACATATATAATATTATACATTAGTATTTTTTAATAGAAAAAATAAAATTCAGGGACATGCCTATTAGCTAACCTTTATTCAGGAAAGCGTATGACTTTCAAAGTAGGTGTTGCAAAGGTGAGGGACACAAAGCAGGACATTCATTGGTAACTGTGGGGAGCTGAAGTGTCAAAGAACTCAGAAATTTAAAGCAGGTTTATTTTCAGTCAGATAATTAAATACTTATTTGACAGGCAAATAAGAGATATTTAATTTGTTAATTAAATTAGGATTTATCTTATTTACTTGAAGATGGGGACCAAGACTTAGAGTACATGGTGAAAGCTGACTCTAAATTCATTGTTGACAAACACTTTTCTGTATAATAGTCAAGGTATTAGAAAAATAAATTTCAAAATATGTCTGATCTAATGTGGCCAGCTCCCACATGTGTATTTGTTTCTTATCTTGACTCACAAGGTAGCAGAACTCCTTGGTAACTAGAGTACTTGACAGTGAAGGGAGGCCTATTTGTTATTTAAGTCATTGTTTTAAGTTAGTTTTAATTTACATAGATGTTTAGCATTGACATACTTGTACATGATTCAGTAGAAAGCATGGATATTTGTGATAAATCATGGGTTAGATGCAAAAAAAATTAAAATGCAATGTGTAATACCGTAAGGTAAGTGAAAAGTATGGAAGGACTGTCTTTCTTTTTTTTTTTTTTCAGAATCCAGTATAACAAATATGAGCTTTATACTCAACAGGATAATTCGTGGAAGGAAACATTTCATTTCTCCTCTGTGAAATGTCTTGATTTTAAATATATTAGACATTAAATATTTGTATATTTTTCTTCTCTCCCAGTGCTATGGGGCTACTTAAAGGAAGGATAATGTCATTAAATATCTTGCCTCTTCCATAATAGAAGACCCCGAAACTTGCCAGCTCCTACTGAAAAAGGTCACTTACTATTTGTTAAAATAACTGTACATTCATAGTGGAGTGAACTCTGTAGGCATGAAATGATTCTGTAGACATAATATTTAAAAGCCAGAAGGCAATTTCAATTTCCGTTGGAGATATCTTGACTTTGTGGGGACAGGTTTTTGTACCAAATAATAGTATTTCAACTTGAAGGGTCTATGTACTTCTTACTAACTTATCAAATTTCTGATAGAATCAAAATACATATTACGCTGATTTTTAATCTACTCTCCTAACTGTTGTATTGCTGGGTAGGTAATTATCTACATCCCTGTACAAATAATTTTGTTGTCACTTCTCATACTTTTATTGAATGGCCATTGTGGCACTTTACTCAGCTCTAGGTGATTTCTACAGTCAGAGCATTTTCCCTGTTTACTTTATTGTAAATAAAATTTGGGGGGGATTTTTTTTTTTGTAACATTGACACGGATTCATTCAAAAATCAGAACAAAGCAGACATTTTAAGTCATGCACATAAATGAAAGCTGCCATTCATCTAACAGTTTACTGAGCATCAGTCATTGAATTAGTATATTATATAGATCCAATCATCTAATGTTAATCTTATTAATAATAACCACATGATCAAGGTTAGATGTGAAACAGGAGGACTAGCAAGGTTAGGAAAGCTGCCTATCCTCACGGAGCTCATCAGGAGCCAATCAAAAATTTAAAAGCAGTCTTCATTTATCCACCCACATCTGTGTTACAATACAAAGAATGTCTTAGTGACAATTGAAATTACCCAATTAACATCAAAGACTCCTATCAAAGTTAGCCACCTCATTTATTTGATCTGACTTTGTTTTGCTGGTTGGCAGGGTATTTTATAGTGTGTTGATTTCCAGTAGATAATGGATTGGAACTGTTTTTAATAGTGTTGGTTACTGAAGCATGCTGTTACAATGTAACCTCGAGGTATCCCTCATAAATGTTGTGGAAAATCTCTTGTACAACAGCAGTAAAGCAATTTGTCCTTGTTTATTCCCAGGAGAGCATGTCCATGCACTTTGGTCCTATGATGGGATCCTTTAAAAAGTGTGCTTTTAAATGTAGATTTTGTAATTGTGGCTTGTTATTGCTGAAGCCACTGCGTTTTCTGATCTAAGATATTAAAACAATTGACCTTGCAGATACTGTTGGCTTGCGGGGAAAGCGTTTTTTTTAAAGACAGGCCTTTTCTAAAATGATCGCTTTATTTTCTGCTTCTCTAATGTATGTTGTGTGTATTTGTTTTCCTATTTTGTTCTTTCTCAATACATGTCACTGAGGTTTTGGGTTAGGAGCTTGGTTATGTTTACATATCTCTTGCTGCTCAGTACTTGGTAACTTTTCTCTGGCTTTATCATGTTTCATATTCCAAAATTACAGCAAAAGAGAAATCAAATTATATTGAAATGAAACTGAAACTCATCCACCATTGTACCACCTAGACAAAACCACTATTAATCTTGTCCTATGTGCTTTTAGGCCTTTTTCTGTGTTGATGCATACAGATGATCACTCCTGTCCATACACATATACTCAAAAAGACCTGTAGGGTTTAGCCTCTCTTTTCAACTTAGCAACATATATTCATGTTCACAGCTATGCAATGACATCCTTATACGTACACACACATGCCCATAAATCTATGTAAACATAAATGGATCTTACATCTTTTAATGTCATTTGAAATAATTTTCTGTCATCTCATAAATTACGGATTGTGTATAGCTAAGTGTGGTAGAAAAATTTCTCAATTTTTCATATAATTGATCAAAACCAGATTTTGATTATTTGAGGCAGAATTACATTTTGGGTATTCTGGTTCCCCTTCCCTGAGTTATTTAGACAATGCTGAGAGCTCTGAACGTAAAATCGCTGTTCAATTATACTTCAACATGGTTTCTTAAAACTAATTTAACTCCTAGGATGAAGATTTCCATTCCAAATTGGACTGCCTAATCATACACCATTTCCATGAAAATTGTGCTATTTGTCACCGCCATCATGCTTCGGTAATTTTGTTTCTGTACATTACTTACTTATTATGATAATAATGCCCATGGATTCATCATGGACCAGCAAAGGTCTTACAATACACAAGATGCAGGATTTTTATGGGAAGGGAGAATTGGATATATATGTTCCAGGAGAAAAATCACAGCATTATTTAACCATAATATCAAAAAGCCTTAACGTTAATTTTCAAGAGAATTTGGTCTAAGCAGTGAGTATGAATGTTACCTTTTTATGTGGAGTGAAGCATTTATTTCTCCACGGACTTGGGGTGAGCTGTTCTCGCATCACGTTGAAGAGAGGAGCACGTATGGCCTACAGTTTCTGCAACAGCTGTCTCATCTAATTAGTTACCTTGATACAGGTGATCAAGTCACAGAATAATCAAAGGCAGTGAAAAGACTTGAAGTTAGAGCTTCTGACTAGAATTTGAAGCTCATATTTGCAGTATTCCTAGTAACGTCCTTATCTGGCCCCAAATATATGTGATGTCTGTACATGCATTATAATTATCTTAGGGAGCTTCTAGTAAATGCTTCATCTTAAAAATAAAGAGACGGAGAGAAAGAGATGGTTATGTGTCTTTATTTTGGAGTGGGTTCGGTAGTTTTCTTGCTCTATGTTCATTTCACATTTCCCTATTGTTCATAGAAAATTAAGAAAATTAAGCGTGATATATTTGCTGATGTAATTTCTTCTTAAGTAATAGATAAATTCCATTTTTCAGACTTTCCTCTGCAAGTTTTCTCCACCACCCCAAACTCCACACATATATATTTTTCTTATTCCTCAAGAAGGGGAGCTTGACATGTTTTAACTTATTTCTGATTAATTAGTCCCTCTGTGTGTGTGTGTGTGTGTGTGTGTGTGTGTAAGCTAATTAGAAATTTATTGTTTCTGAAATGTCATATGACAATATGAAAGAAGTTAACATACTTGTTTTCATAATAATGAAAATAAATTAGAATTACAATTGAAACACATTATTGATATACAGGGTAATTGCTTTGCCCCTGTTTATTTATTTATTTTCCCTTAAATCTAGAATCGCAATCCCATTCCTCTGTTGTACTAGGACAGATAATCCCCTTTCA